CTTGCAGATGAAGCCCAGGAAAGGGAAATGTGTTGCTTAATGACAGACTAATATTAAGTGGCAGGATCAAAACTTCACTCCCCTTGGCCTTATCTCCCCGCAATAGAATGTAAGCTCATTGAGAGCAGCGACTGTCTCATTCTCTATAATTACACACCCAGCACCTAAGACAGCACCTTGGCACATGGGAAGCACTTACTACGTGTTTGTTGATTGACTACAGATGCACTGCGGTTGCAATAGCACTCTGTCCATCCTGTCACATTAGGGTATCCTAGAGGCTGTGGCCAGAGCATACTGAATCAATAACTGTGGACCAGACTTAGAAACCCAGCTGATATTCCAACTCCTGAATAAAGGCTCTCTCCTCTCAGAGGTCCCTGGCTCTGGGAAAGAAAGAGAACCAGTCAGCTGCCCATTCTTTTCATGATGATTCAGGGGACATTGAGAAGGGAAAGGCCTGGAAAACCAGAGATTGTCATTTAGAGACCAGAAGAGGGAAAACCCAGGCAATTACTCCTCCTCTCTCAGTACGTAGGAAACAGTCTGTAAAATATAATGCTGATGCCAATGAGTCAGTAGGCAAGCATTTCTGAAGTGCACACTATGTGTCAGGCATTGTGCCAAGGGCTGGGGTTATTCAGAAAGCCCAAAACATGGGCCCATGGCAGCCAGGTGGCACAGTGGAGAGAACTTGACATTGGAAGTCAAGAAGACCCAAGTTCAAATCCAGCTTTGGATACTTCCTAGCTGTGTGACCCTGAGCAAGTCACTTAGCCACTATATGCCTCAGTTTCCCCAACTATAAATGGGGATTTTAATAGCACCTACCTCCCAGGGTTGCTGTGAGGATCAAATGAAATAATATTTTTCTAAAGCATTTAGCACACAGTAGGTGCTTAATAAATGCTTGTTTCTTTCCTTCCCTAACCTCGAGGAGGAGTTCACATTCTAATGGAGAGACAACATGTAAATAATTAGGTATATGTAAAGAGTAAATGGAAAATAATCTCAGAGTGAAGGCATTAGCAACTGGGGATGGGATTACAGGGTTAGGGTTGAGAGAAGGAAGAAGAAAGGTCAGGAGGGGTGAGGGAGAAGGGCATTGGAGGCATGGCGGGCAGCCAGCGAAAAGACAAATGGCAGGAGATGGAGGGTCCAATGCAAGGACCTACAGGTAGGCTGGCATCGATGGACTGCAGAGGGAAGGAAGGTAGAACAGGATTGGAGAGGGAAGAAGAGATCAGTGGATGAAAAGCTGTCCGTGTCCAACAGAGGGCTTTCTAGCTGATCCTGGAGATCACTGAAAGTCATGGGAGCTCCCTGAGTGGGGGGAGGGAGGTGGTCAGATCAGTGCTTGGGGAAAAAAAAATCACTCCATCCACTGGGCAGAAGATGGATTAGAGCAGGAAGACTTGAGGTGGGGAGGGAGACCAGTCAGAAGATTTGTGATAATCTAGGGGAGGGGTGATGGAGGGCTGGAGCTAGAGCAGGGGCTGTGGGGGTGGTTAAAAGGAGTCTTTGAACATAATGATAATAATTATAATGAGAAGAGTGCTATGTTCCAGGCACTGTGCTAAGCACTTTACAATTATTATCTCATTTTGTCCTCATGACAAACTATAGGTGGTAGGTGCTATTGTTATCCCTGTTCTATGGATGGGGAAATTGAGGGATATAGAGGTTAAGTGTCACACAGCTAGTTAAGTGACTTGAGGCTGGATTTGAACTCAGGTCCTCCTGACTCCAAGGCCAGAGACCCATCATTTTTTCAAACTAGAACAATGAGGCCCAGTGAGCTTGAGGCCATGCAGATGATAGGGGGCAGGTAGATGCCTCCAACTCCAGCACTCTCTTCATTAGGCCGTGACCTAGTCTGTAGAGCGGTGATAGTTCATAACACACGTGCCTTATCAGCATTTAGATAATAGGATATGGGTGGAGAACGTAATGAGCCCTAGTAGTGTCTGAAGGGCAGCGCTTTGGAGGTCAGACTTAGCATGAGCTGGGCCTCCCTTTAGGACCTTATGCACAGCACTCTCTCTCCCCACCCCCCATGAGCCTCAGCTGGCTCTCTGGTGTAACTGGAGCTTAGGAGGAATTCCCTGCCCTTCCCCAGAGGACTTTATTAAAATAGGTCAGGAACCAGCTGGCTTCGATCGGAAAAATCTCTGGGGCGGCAGAGAAGCGGGCTAAGGGGAACTACGGGAAGTCAGGCAGGGCAGAGAATGAAGGGAGCGCCCTGTGTAAGGCTCAAAATAGAAACAGTTCCCAGGCCCTAGATCCAAAATCCCAAACTGGGCCGTTCTCCAGAGACCGAGCTCGAGGGCATCAATGGGCAAGGGAAAGAGCACAGGAAAGTCTTCTCCACATCTGACCTCCTGGCCTGGTGGTGAGACCCAGACACACGCCTATACTGCCCTCCTGTATTTGCTCTTTTTTCAGTTTCTCCCCCCGGAACAAGAAGGACTGAAAGAAACCCCAGAGCCCTTCTAAGAAGCCGGACAGTCACTGAAAAGCTTCCCTTTTTTGTCTCTTGTTCTTTCTGAACCTTGAAGGATTCTCCCTTGCCTGCCCTAGGCTTGCTAAAATGGTCAGGAGGTGGCGGTGATCTACACAGGAGCTGTGGAGTTTTCCACCGAGAACTCTGTTCTTATTTCAGGCAGAAGGAAAGGATGAGACTTCGGAGGGCAGCAGAGAGGGTTATATAAATGGTCAGAGATGAGGCCCTAAGTGAGAGAAGGATTTTGGGCAGGGCCTTGGGGAGTAACAGGCATTGGCTCCGGCCTCCCTGCTCCTAACTGGAGCCCTACATGGAGTTCTGGCTGGGCTTCCCATGGCCAGGGCCCAAAGGCGAAGAAGGCCTGTTCCTGCCTGGAAGCCCCTCGTGCCTCGCCCCAGCCCTGGCCCATCCCAGGCTCTCATGGGTACATGCAGAGAACACACACCTATCTGCATGTCTGCTGCCAAAGCAGTCTAAAGCACAGGTATGATCTTGTCTTCTCCCTTCTTAATACCCTGCTTTGCCTACTTGATTAAAATGCCTGACACTCAGGGGCCTCCAATCTAATCCAAACATTTATGTGTCTACCACAGGCAAGGAACTAGGCTCGGAACGGGGGATACAACCAAATACAAGAGAGTCCCTGTCTTTAAAGAGTTTACATTTGGGGGGCAGGGGAGCAGAGCAGGAAGAGATGCAACATGAAAACCAGTCCTTAACTCTGCAGCTTGAGGCAAGAGAGAGCACAAATGAGAGGGGAAAATCAAGGCCGGTAGGGACTGGCACATGGGCTAAGCCTTGAAGGTAACAGGCAATAGTTTAAAAAAAAAAGTGAATTCTAAACACAGGGGAAAGTCTGCGCAAAGATGTGGAGTTGGGAAATTAAATCCCCAAGTAGCAGAAACAGCAGATAAGCTGGTCAGTGTGGCTAGAATGGAGCATGTGGGAAGGGGAGAAAGATAAAAATGAGCACATCTGGCCACTCTCATTCCAGTGTTCCTCTTATGGCACTCTGGGTATTTGGCCAAACTGGGTCGTTTTAGTCTCACCCTCTCCCACCTCCAAGCTTTTGCATCCCACTCGCCTTCCCTCCACATCTTTGCTTGTTGAAACCCTTCTTTTCCTTCAAGGCCCAGCCCAGGTGCCCCTGGTTAGCAGGGATAGATCCTACTTACTACGGATTTTCCCTGTTTCTTCTCTCTTTGACTTCTCTTAGGCATTTCTCATTCAAACTTGTCTTTTAATTACTTTATGTATCCTCATCTCCTTATTAGACTGTCAGCTCCTTGAAGGCAGGAACAGCATCATTTATCCTTTATTAGGCAGTCTATTCAATTATCTGAACTGCACAATAACTCATATTTTTAAAAATTGCTTTGCAGTTTTGTCTACGTTTCTTTTGGTCATTGAATGGGACCATTTTCCAGCCCTGTGGGATGAGTCTTCTAAGGGAGGAAGTGTGCCTGCTTTGAACAGGCAGTGCTCACACTGGTAGATGTCCTGTGCAGAAGGGTTATCTGCTCCTAAGCTTATCCTTTGGTCCCAAAGGCAGGGGTTTGAAAGCTCCAGTATGTCACTCTGTGCCCAGAAACCTGAAGGAAGTCCTTGGATACCGATGTTACTCGAGGAGCCTGAAGCTCCCAGTTTTCAGGGGCCCTGGGTTCCTCTAGCCCCAGCTTCCTTTAGGGTTCTCCTTGGGATGTTACCTGCCCCCTCCCTCTCCTCCTCCACCTTTGATCAGATTACTTAATAAGCTGGCTGGCCATCATCTTGGCTCTTTACTGAGTACTCCGAGTGCCTAGCACTGTGCTATGGAGAGAGGGCCTTTGCAGACTCCCTACACCAGACACCCAGCAAGACACCCTTGTTCATGGGTTGGCCTGGCCCTAGCTCCGAAGCCCACCAACTGTTCTTGCCTGAGACCGTATCCCCCCTGGCTTGCTCCTAAGTCACTAGGACTGAGCCTGGCCCTCTCCACCACGGCGTTTAGAGCTCAGGGCAGAGACTCCGGTGTCCTGGACAGTTCACTCCCCCTTTCGCCAGGCGACTGCAGCATCTGACTGGCTGGTGGCTACAAGGACCAGGGCAGAGAGGGTTAGCTAGATGCCCAGCTGTGAAGCGTTAATACCCGAGGCAAGAATAGTCCAGATAATGGAGGGAAAGGTATGAGAAGATTTCCCTTAGTCCATTCCCTTGCACAGACTCTGCTGGCGGGGCTGGGCTAGGCTAAGCGGGCACAGCCGCAGGGGTCCAGCCACCACCCAGAGAAAGCTTCTGCCTCTAAGGAGGGAGGGAGGGGGCCACTCTCCCCTCCTCCAAGGCCAAGAGAATCAACCCAATCCAAACATTTATTAAGCAAGGAAAGAATGGGGGGCGGGGGGGGGGAAGGTGGGCAGGATGCAAAGTTTAGCTAAGAAGACAATCAAAACGAAGGAAGGAGGAAACGGACAGCGAGGTTGGAGGGAGGACTCCCCCAAGGGGGAGCGTGCTTACTGACCTCGGCGTTGACTTCGCTGTCCCCGGCCACCCCGCTGCAGGTCAGGGGGCCCAGCCACACGAACAGCAGCAGCAGCAGCTCCCCGGTGCCCAGGAGGGTCCCGGCCCAGCCCGGCCTCCGTGGCTCGCCCCGCCCGGCCCCGCCGCCGCTCATGCTGGCGGCGCTAGCTGGGCTGGGCTGCGGAGGGGGGTCGGAGAGATCCGATTCCCCGGCTGGGTACGGGCTTGAGGCTTCCTCGCTGGAGGGTCGGAAACTTGGAGCCAGACGCGTGGGGGCCGGGACCACCCCTCTGTCCTCGCCTTCCCTTTTCCCAGGGGAGCTCTTAGGCGCCCCTGGGCAAGTTCTCAAGGCTCGGCGCGGAAAGCCCGGCGGAGGGCACGGAGAGGGGGGGCGAGCCCGACGGCCAGCCAGGTGCGGGCGGCGCTCCCGGCTCCTTCCCCGCTGGATGCTGCCTTTGTTTCGGGCTCAGCCTCGGGGATGCCCCGGGCCGCTGCGCTCCCCAGGGCTCCGCGCAGCGCGCCTGCGGCTGCTGTCCATGCTCCGGCCGGCGAGGCGGAGGCGTGCGCTCCCCGGGCCCCGCGGAGGTGGCGCGCACGCCCCCTCCCCGTGCCCGGGGCACCTCGCCCCCCGCGGCGGGGGTCTGCGGGAGGGGGATGGGCGGCAGGGGCCCCCCCACGGCGTCCTGCGGGGCGGGGCGGAGAGGGCAGGGGGAGCCCGAGCCCGAGCTAGCGGCGCGCGTCCTTGGGGCCGGATCGGCGCAGCTCTGAGCCAGCTCCTGCGCTCGGGGGCCCGCTCCCCACCCCCTCCCTCTTCTCCTCTCCTCCGCGGCTCTTAAAGGGACCGTGCGCTCACAGGCCGGCCGGCCAGGCCGCGGGGAGGGGGCTGCTAGCCCGGCCCGGAGCCGCCGCAGCCCCGCGCCCGGGGCTTCCCTAAAGGCAGGTGTAAGGCTGGGAGCTCGCGCTCTTCTACCCGCTTCTGGTTTAAAACTCTCCACCAAGTTTCCCCGAGAGACCTGGGGGAGGGGTGTGTACAAGGGATGTATTTTGACCCAGATCTCCAGAGAGCCGAGAGAGAGAGAGAGAGAGGGAGAGAGGGAGAGAGGAGAGAGGGAGAGAGGGAGAGAGGGAGAGAGGGAGAGAGAGAGGCGGGGCCTCAACTTGAAACTAACAAAATGCGCCCCCGCCCCCAACCCTCAGGTACTTTCAATGTGGTTCTGGGCAGGAGACAAATATCAGGGATTTCTTAAAAAATAAAAACCTTGACCTTTGCTGCCTACCGTGCCCTTCAACCTTGAGCAATAATAACCATAGCTGACCTTTAGATACAAGGAAGCGGAGGCAGACAGAGGTTACATGAGTTGTGTAGGACCACCACACGGGTAGTAAGCATCAGAGGTCGTATTTGAATTTAGGGCTGTGAATTCAGATGCAGCGCTGTCTCCACTGCGCCATCTATCACTAAAGGAACGAAGGAAAGAAAGGAAGAAATGGGAAAAAAAAAAGAGAGAGAAAGGAGGGAACGAATATCCACAAATTTCCCTGTCCACCCGCTTTTCTCTGGTAAGAGCTACGAATGACCCCCCGGCTTTCCAAATCAGGGACTGCCTCCCCATATCATCACTGTGACCATAAGGGTTAGCTAGGTGGGTGGCTAGTGCTCATTTGAGAAGGGGACTCAAACAATCGTAGCCAATTAGAGACACAGTCCAGGGCAGATAAAGGGAAAAGAGATCTCCTCTCCCCCTCCCCTTCTTTTTCTCCAGAATGGTTTGACAATGAACAGAGGCTTTTACTGTCTTCCTCTATCTTCTCAGCTACTAACTTTTGGCATAAGAGTGTGACCTTTTTATCAGGTGTCAGTTTCCGCAAGGGACTCTGCTGCCCTCCGAGCAACATTCCCCTTTTATGTGGCAGTCCCCAGCAGTGCCTACTTCCCTAAAACTGGAGCTGGCTGGAGTTTGGGAAATTGTGTTTTTCCCCCCTACAGCGTGTTTAAAGCTAACCTGTCAAGAGAAGAAAAAGGCCACAGACCACTGAAGATATCCAGCATGCATGTTTAGCTAGGGCTCCTCCCAAGATAACAGAAGCAGACTAATTTTACTCCCCTGGGGTCTTCTAATGAAGAATAAGAAATGATGGAGACAGTTGTCCCTGATTTCTTTGGAATCAGCTCTTTGGTAAGCAAACTTTCCAAATCCAATCCCTTCCTTTGCAATTTGTTTTGGAATTTGCACAGAGGCCATCAGAAATGGACCACTTGTGTTTCCAGGTTTGATGGAAATATGTTTTATCTTTAACAATAACATTTATTAAAAATCTACCACATTGAAAAAAATATTTGGCTTGATGAAAGCTGTTCATTTATACTGCCAAAGAGGGGCCCTGAATATCATCGGGGCCTTTGGTCGAAAAAGTTTGCAAACTCCTTTTTCATAATGGAATTCTCCCTCTTAAAGTTAACTCTCCTCTAGATTACTTTTATGTTTCTAGGACAGAGCTTCTCTCAACAGGACAACTATTGTAAAACGCCCAGATCTCCACTTTGGGCAGTCTATAGACTCCCAGGGACTGGGCGCATCTAGGCAGATTTTTGGAGGTCGGTTTCACTCAAATTAAACAAATATTTCTCAATGTTTGACGATGAGCAGGGAAATGCTAAGGAGCAGGATTTCTGTTGTATTCCAGGCCCTGTCTAGGCAGAGGAGGCTGCAAAGTATAAGCAACTCATTTCTGTCCCCAAAGTACAGGAGAAAGCCTACTTATTTTTGGAGACAGGGAACTCGAGTTCAATCCCAGCTCTGACAATTATTCCTTCTGTGTTCTTGGCCAAATCACCTGACCTCTGTGGCGTCAGTTTCCTCATCTGTAAAATGACCTCTGAGGCCCTCTCAAGCTCCAAATCTAGGATATTATTTTTCAAGGGAAACAGAACAACATTTGTGTAGTATAAACATTTAGCAAAGTGTCAGGCAACCAATAACAAAAGGAGTGATTTCTGTGGACTGTCATCAGTGAAGGCACTGAACACACCTTGTGTTTCCCAGAAGGTGCCCTATGGACGAACACATGAATTTATGAAGTGGCCCCTCTGGCTTAAAATTCTGCGATCTATGGATGGAACTCAGAGTAGGGAAAAGCTAGTCATGTTACATGTCACTGTCCCTTCCTTTACTGTCCCTTCCTTTAAAGGTGTTTGCTTAAATGGTCTCACACATCTGTGGGATTTTGATCTTGCTTACTGGTCCTGCTGGCTATCTAGACCAACGGAGCAGGAGCTGATGAACAAATTCTTGGGGCAGCCCTTCAGGAATGAAAATGTACAGGGGAGATGAAGGGGTCATCAACGTAGCTGCAGAGTGCTGGCTGAAGCTGAGCTGCCATTTACAAGACTCTTCCCCAAGTTTGGGACAGTAATAGAAAAAGTACTTTTCCTGTGAGAGAGCCACTGGGATGAATACCTTGAGAGAATTACTGAATCTCAGAGCTGAAAGGGATCTCCTCCAAGCCCTCTACAGTATACCCAAGTGCTCACCTAGCCTTTGCCCAAAGATCTCCAAAGAGGGTGGGTCTTCACTGCCTCCAGAGGCAGCTATCCATGTTTGGACAGCTCTCTTAAAATGTGGTTTTTTCCCCCCCTTAGACATCAAGTTTAAATTTGATTCTTTGGCAAATTCCACCCCACTGCTCACCCTTCTGACTACTCAGGTCAGACAGGCCAAAATCTAATCCCTGTTCCATGTGAAACTGTAGCATTACCTATAGTTTTATACAGTCTGGAGGGCAAGGTGTCCTCTCAGGGTCTCAGAACTCTATGCTTTATTGATTCTAGGATTTCCTTTTTAAAGCTGTTTGCCAGAGTTTTCATTTTGAAAACCACTACTTAAAAAGCAATATTCCTGCTTTGGGGCCTGGCCCAATCATCATCTTTGTGCTCTGCCTACAAAGCACCCCCTGCTGGGTTTTCAGGGCCACCCAAAGGAGTCCTGCTTAGGGCTTCTGGTTCCAAGAGAAGGAATAAACAAGAAAGCTGTGTTAATATTCCTCTCTTGGATACAGGGCTGGGGGTGGTCTGAAGAGGCTGGGTGTGAGAATGGCATTCACTAGGTGTATAAGGGCCAAACCGCCCTCCCAAAAAAACAAACAAAAAACCCCAAGGATGAGTTTCCTACCCTGCAGGGAATATCTGAAGGCAGAGTGAAGATATTTTGTAGTTTCTTTTTGGTCTTTAGTTGTTTTTTTTTTTATACAAATACCAAAGAGGTTCTGAGGACTGTCAAATGGCTATTATATAACTGAAGATTTTCTTTTTCTTTTGTGATAAGTCAGCAGGTTAAGATGTCCCTTTCTTTTTCTTCACTTTCCACAGGTGCTCAGTGATCCTGATGGGAACCCAATGGGTTTCAACTGAGACTAGAATTCTTTTTATTTTCCTCAACTGCAAGCTGACGAGCCCCAAATCCTGTCTCTTGCAGAGGTCCCCTGGGCTGGGCACAAGCCAAGCTCCCCCACTGCTTCTCTGTCATTCTTCTGCCCAGCCACCCTCCCCATCTCTCAGTGAATTTCCGATTTCCTTGCTCTATCAGCTCCTTTCCATTCTACCATTGAATTTCATCGTATTGATTTTGGCCCATTTCTCAAAGTCATGCTGCATTCTAATTCCCTATTCAGCACAGCTGGGCTTCCAGTCCCACATCCTTCCCAAATTTGATTAGTAAAATCCATTCTTGGGGTTGTTAATGGAAATGCCTAATAACATTGGGCAGAGCTCTCCAAAGGGACTGGTTTCCTAGAACACTCTAAGTGTATTTGTCTTCTGCAGACGGTGTGTTCCCAGTAATTGCCTACAAGTGACTGTGGAAAAACACCAGCATCAATGAATTGTCAGACACTGGTTTTATCCAGATGGTGAAGGAGCAACAGGGCAACCAGCTGGGTCTGGATCCAACAAAACGGTGCACTGGGACTAGGCTTGTCCCCCTTCGTTTGGGGTTTTCTACAGCTGTGACTTTCACTGTGGAAATCAGGCAGGCTTGGCTCCCCTCGAAGTTTAGAAAACACAAGCAGCTCCTCCCCCTCCAGCACAAGCCCGAGGAGAAGGGCTGGTAACCAGCTAACCTTGAGCTGTCATCAGCACAGGGAGCGGCGCCAGATTCTGAAAAGATGGCGGGAGGAGACCTGATGAAGGACAATGATTCATGAAACAAAGTTGGGCGCTCCATCTGCGAGTACCGGGGAGCAAACACCTCCACATTGTCTGAAAGACTGCTGAGTAAAAAAAAAAAATGCCCTGGCCAGGACTTGGAGGCAATATGGCAGACACACCAGGCTAGATATCAACAGATGAAAGTTCTCCCACTGTTTGACCTTTGTTTGGGCTAATTAGGTACCCTATGGTTTTCCCATCTGTAAAATGGAGATCCATAACGCTTCTTACCTTACTTGCTTTACCAGCGTTTTATGGGAAGCAGCTAAGAGCTGATTAGAGGTCATTTTATGGATAGGGAAACTGAAGCAGAGAGATGTTCTGACTTGCCTAAGGTTGCAGAGGTGGTGAGTAGCGCAGTTAGAATTCAAACCAAGGTCTTCTGTCTCCAAGGAGAGAGTTCCCACTGCATCAGGAAAGCTTCATACAAATGCAAGGTGTTATTAGAAATGTTTGTTGTTGGACTGCTAAGTAGAGTGCACCAAGACCATGACGGAACCAGGCCCGTTACTGTGAAAGGGGCAACATGAGCAAGCTGGATGCCCAAACTCCTGACCCCTGTTACAGAATCTTGACCTGGGTGCACTGGGGGGTGGCAGCAGGGAGAGGGAAAGGAAAAAAGCCCCTCCTTTCACCTCACTGATGATAAACACTGCCACTGGAGCCCAAGAGGCAGAAATAGAAACATTTATTTCATTTAACATAATTTAAATATCCATATATAGTCCCATCATCCAGTACCAGAAATCCAGGTGGCAGCTGGATTTGCTCAGGACAACCCACTTTTTTTTTTAATTGCAGCGAGGGCCTGAAGGAAAAAAAGGATTTTTCCCCCCCAACTGGCCCTGAATGTTTTCCTGTTGCTCATTAGGCAGAAAGGGGCAAATGGAGACAAAGCCTGAGACTATAATGGAGCATTCAGGAGAAGGGCCTCCATGGGAAAGCTTTGTTTCCTATTTTTTTGGAAAATAAATGTGGGAAGCCAGAGGCTGGGGAATTTGGAAATCTAGACAGCTCTTTCCAGACAGCCAAGCCCATAAGAAGCATCTGCTCAAGTTTTCCCCTGGCACCTGGTGGGGCTCACGGAGAGTGTGAGGGGGGTCTGCTAGAGGACCCTGGTGCAGAGCTAGGCCTGAGTGGGACTTAGGGTGAGAACCGAGAAGTTCCTGAGAGAAAAAAGGGCAGGGACATGGCCTCCTGAAGACACCTGGCCAGCCAGGGCAGGATCGGAGGGAGGTGTGGAAACAGTAATTCTTAAGATTTTGGTCTGAGGCCAAGGGCACAAAAATACAAGCAGCTGAAGGGAATGAAGCAGATGGAAGTGAAGGGCTCACTTAGTGACCCCAAAGATTCCTGCCCTGGGACTGGAGGCCCAGGGCAGGAATCAGTCTGCCCTGCCCTCTGCTGGTTAGCTCGTGGAAATGGCTGCCTTGCACCCAAAAACCTCTTAGGAGGGAGGGGGTTGGCAAGGCCCCCAGGACCTTGTGCCTCAGACCGCCATAACTGGGGCTCTCTGGCTAGGCACAAATGGTGTTCGGTGGACAGGTGCACCTTGCTTCCCCATTGGAATGGGCTGGGAACCATAAAGCCAGGGGCATGGCTGTCCAAGAATTCCCTCATCCTCCAAGGGAGGAAGGCCTGTCCCCTGGCTGGCTGCAGGCAGGAATGTGGTGGACCAAGGGCCCGTCCCTGGCTTGCTCACTCTCATTTTAACGGGAAAGAGAAAAACTTATTCCCAGACTTGCAGCGGACCTGTTCAGCCCGCACACGCAGCAGTGGAGCAGAGTCTTCAAAGCTGTCCACGATTTCCTAGAACAGGTCACAGCAAACAAAAAGGTCCCTGACCCACAGCCCACCGGGGTGAAGCCTGTGGCCAAGAGCCCCAGAAGTGAGGATGCCCCTGTTGCCTCAGCCTCTGAAGGTGCCTGGAGGCTCTCAATGTCCAATCCTTCAGGCCAATGTGCTTCCCAGCTACCTTCCCCTTTGGGGTCAGTCCTTTTACTTAGGCCAGAAAAACCCAGCCACTCCCATCTCCCCCAGGAAGGACCCCCGAGCCAAGGTTCCCCTACCTGCAGCCCCTGGATGGCCTGCTCCTTCAGCTCAGATTGTACATCTCCAACACACCAGGCCAGGCTGATGTGGAAGGAAGGCTCCTAGGAGAGAGACAAAGAAATGCTCAGGCAGAACACAGAGTGGCCAGTGCCGGCCCATTGCTTCATCCATGTGGGGAGAGCCCTATACCACAAGGGAGGGCCTGGCATCCTGGATTCCTAATGCAGGAATGATGCCCCAGAGAGAGGACCATCCTTCCGTTTTTCCTGTTTGGCTTGTTAATAGCAGGGAGAGGACAAAGCTGGGCCTAGGTAGGTGAGCTGTCAGCCAGCAAGGGCCCAACATGTTGGGGAAACAGGAACACAACCAAGACCTTTCAAATGGTTTTGTGTTTTTAACGTATATTTTTCCCAATAGAAAATTCTACTCTTCACTACTTCAACCTGCACATATCATGATAAAGCAGGTCACATTCCACATTCCAGGGGTTATGCTAATGGACTTACAAAGGAATAACAACAGCTAACTTTTACAAGGGCACCTTTAAAGTTTGCAAAGCGCTTTCCGAATTTTATCTAATTTATCTTCACAACAGTCCTCCAAGGCAGGTGGTACTATTATTGTTCCCATTTTACAGATGTGGGAACTGAGTCCAGTAGGGTAAGTGACTTGGAGAATTTGAATTCAAGTCTTCCTGACTCCCAGTCCAATAGTGTTCACTGTGCCTCCTAGGACAAGGAAGCCTCATCGAGGTGGGGAAAGTGCCCTGTGCCCCACCAGGGGCTTCCAAGCCTGGCTCGTCGACGTCTGAGGGGGCTCAGGGCCCCAGGGTCGGCAGTGTGGCCCAGGATACTCCCTCAGCCATCAACTGAGACCAGGAGGGGCTGGGGCAAGGCAAGACTCAACAGCCCTAGAACAAGGCCCACGAGTGGGAAGAGAGCTGGGCCGGGGGACCCTGGACCCCTTCATACCCCGTGCTTGCACGCGCTGTGAGGAGAGCACAACAGAAGCACGGCTGGCCTCTTGTTTTTCCACAGTGAAGAGTTGGAGCCTCAGTGGGGCAGTCCCTCATGGCCCAGGTCTAGACTCTGTCCAGGGTCCACAGGAGCTTGTCCTTGCTCTGGGTGAGTGCTGGGTCCCAGGAGCTTCGCTTCTCATGGACCCAGTGCCATACTCTGATCCAGGGGTGGGGAACCTGCGGCCTCTAGGTCCTCAGGTGCGGCCCTTTGACCGAGAGGGCCATGTGTAGCCTTGAGGCCCAAGGTTCTCCACTGCTGCTCTGATCCCCGCCATCCCCAATGCTGCCCAGAGGGTGCAGAAGATCAGCCAGCCAGGTTCATTCCACGTGACTCCAGGGGGTTTGTCTGACACCCTTTTCACAGAACACACGGGCTGGACGTCCAGATGGACCATCCGCTTCCCCTTTCTACATTTCACCTGGTTTACAGGGACCTACTTTTAGATGTTATGTTCAAAGGGGAACAAGAAGCATCTCACCTTGTAGAAAGTCGCCAGGTCAAACTCCTCCATCACTCTGTCCACCTCTGAGACCAAGTCTAGGAACTGAGCATGCCCCGCAGTAACCTCTAACCCAATGAAGGTCCTGGGCAGACAAAAGGGGTAGAAAGCATGAAGTCGCATCTAGCCGGCAGCAAGCCTGGGGTGGGGCTAGGCCTGGACAGGGAGGCTGCTGGGCCCAGAGGAAGCCCCTGAGACTCCAGAGGCCCAGAGAGGAGGGAAGGCCTGGCCTCAACTGGTGGACGAATGGCCTGGTCAGTCAATTTGTTAAGCACCTACTAGCACCAGGCAATATGCTACGGGCTGGGAATACAAAGAAAGGAACCCTGCCCTCCTTCCCACCAACAAAAATACAGTCCCTGCTCTGCCAGAACCATTTCTGCTTGTGGCACCCAGAGGGGTGCACAGCTCATTTTAAAGCCTGGGTAACTAATCTACCACATCTGCTTAGCACCTTCAACTTTTCCCACGTGTCAGAAACACAACCACTTTGTGAGGTTACTAGGGTGGCTATCATCCCACGCCCCACCGGACAGCATCAAGAATGTCCAGTTACTGGGAGAATGAGGCCAGAGGCCAGCTCTTCTCCCTTCTAGTCTTGGACATCCCCACAGTCCCATGCTGCTCTGAGGTGTTCTCCGCTAAGCCGCTGACTTCTTTTTTTAAAGCTTCAGGATCGACAACTGATCCACACATTCAGAAAGAGGGGCACAGCATGTCCGTTCCACATCTTCTCTAGAGCAGTCCTGGTGTGGTGCTTGCATCAACACACACCCACACACACACATGCACACACACACGCACACACCTCGTCTTCTCTTGGTTTGTGTAAACTTTCACCTGGTTGGCTGTGAACAAGAACCTGAAATTTAAGAGAGAAAAAGAAAAAAATCATTTTCTCAGAACAGGAAGAAGCAAGCAGGAAAATGACTGTAGTGTTACATGATGACCCAGAAGATAGTGGAGTCACTTGGAAGGCGGTCACCTGACTTCCTACCTCTGTGGCTTGGCTTGGCATCTCCAGCCCTGCTCTACACACAGTCACATGAAGCCCAGAAAGACACTTCATTGGGAGGCTTATCTTTGGGCAGGAAGGACTCAATCCTGCTGGCATCACTTCCATCTGTTCTGACCCCTAGAAACAGGATGGCGTGAAAACCGCCTCCCAATTCTGTAGTTAGCTCTCAATAAACCTCGAAAGGCTGGATTTTATGACTGGATCCATGGGAGGAGAAGATCATTAGATAACGATGTGGATAAAAGAATAATTTGTTCCTTGGAGGTTAACAGAAATAGATAATAAAGATTTAGTTTGGATAAAAGATTATCAAGAAGATAAAGGAAGACAGATCTGTCTTAACTTGTACAAAAAAAGACATGTTTATATCTTTACACACACATACACACACACAAGCACACATATGTGTTTCTAGGCATGAGTACATATTACCAATACAGACCAAGAAAAGTCAGGATCAGCAAAAGAACCTCAGGGCCAGGAGGAATTAGCAGTTGGAGACTACCCCACAGGGATTACCAACTCCTCCATTACCAGTCACACAGAAACAGGAGAGAGTCAAATAAAGTAGGACGTACAAAGCAACAAATCCGAGAGAGACAGTCTGGAGTCTTGCCCTTCGTGACTAACCAGGCTTTGAGTCTTGGGAAACCTGGCCCAGTGGGGAGGACGCCTGATATACTCACTGACTCAATAACCATTTACTGTTCCTATAACCCAATCAATGTTATTCACTGAGTCCAGTGATCTTGGGATCCTCATCCAGGCCTCCAACTACATGTTGGGGAACTGGGATGAGGGGAGAGAAGGCAGATAAAGAAGAATTACTTCCTAGGCCTCTTCCTCCTCTACTCATGTCAACATACAGGGCTCTGCTTATGAGTAGGCAGAAGCCTACATGCAACAATTTTGGGGTGTGCCAGGAACACTACTTAAACCCCCCAAATCTACTGACCTCAACTTGTCACAGAACCTAAAGTTCTCACCCTTGTTTTTGCACAGCTCACAAATGAAGCAGTCCTCATCACCTTTGGGATAATCCCTTGCACTCTGATCTTTGACTTTTAACTTACCTCAGCTTCGTTGCCTTTTCCTTATCTAAATTTTAATACACACACACACAAACACACACACACCCCACATGCTTATCAGAGATTCATTCTTTAGTGTTTTGAAGGCTTTGGGAGCCTTTAGGTCCCAATAAGAACACAACCACTGTGATTTTGCCAATATGTCTGCAGGGTGAGTGTGTGTGTGCGCGCACGCGCGCATGTGTGTGTGTGTTGGGGGTGGGTGGGCACTGAGGTGATAAAGGCAATTTCTGCCCAACTTTCTGCCACCTACCAACATAGTTCCATCAAGCCTTGTGGGTTCCCATAAAATGTTAAGTTTTGTCTACATCTTTTGGCTCTGGGGAATAAGAGGATTGACATGTAGCCAAAGGGGGCTGAAAATCCTTGTTCTTTTTGCTCCCAGGATTACAGACCCAGCATAAAACAGAAAGATGGCTCAGGAGGCCAGAGAGGAGAGAAGACGGAGGTGTAAAGGAGGAAGCACACCTGTGGAAGAAGGCCATGCGGCTCTTCAGGGACTGCACGAAGGGCGTGATCCAGTGATACCGCAGGACCACACTCTGTGACAGACTGACGTGGAACTCCTCCATCTTTACCAGCCTGGGCAGTACCCTCCGGGCCTGGGTCATGAGAAGGTCAAGCAGGTCAAAAAAATCTTCCTTTGCTTCATCTGGAGGGGAAGGAAACAAAGAGAGCTACTTTCTGAGTGTGGGGCCCTCACTGAACAAACGAACACAATCCTAGGAGTAAAAGGTTACTTTTCTTCTCCCTTTTCAGAAAGAAGTCACTGAGGGGGCAAACCATGTTTATTTAGCTCAAAGGATATCAAGTACAGGATGTCACTGAAGACTGATGGAAAGACATCCTCTCTAAAAAGGGAGTGATAGATGTGAGCCGGCCAGGCAGGGCAGACCAAAGGTGAATCTGTCACACCATCCCACACCAGCTCTCAGACAGCCTTTTGAGATTCCACTGGACGGCCTGCCTGTGAAGCTGGAAAACGTACTCAGGGAGGCCTGCAAAGATGACTTCTGTGCATCAAGTCAGAGCCTGGGCCAGATGTTGGGGAAATCTCATGATTATTTGCTCAAAAAATAATAACCTTACAGGGATCCACGCCCTGGCTTGCCTCACTCAGCAAACACTGAAAAGGCTCCTCCCAGTATCTCTGACCCTCTCCCAGGTTGGGGAGATCTGCTGTCACTTACAGGGCACCCAAACGTGGGTGGCCCAAATACCCCTTTCATGGGGGAAGGTTCGTATTCTGCCACCATGTTTTTCAATGTCATCCACAATCCCATCTTCTGGATCTGGAAACATGTTCAAGACACTGTCTGGAATGGGCAGCCGAGGGAGAGGAGGAGGAGATGGAGGATGGCGACATCTGCAGGAGTAAAGAGATGTAGAATACACTTTGATTTTTACCTATGATTGATCCCCTATAATTCTGCCCACAAGATAAAATTACTTTCCATCCTGGGAATTTGCTCAACTGTCAATGTTGGGGATAAGGAGTCAGACCAGAGAAAAGAACAGTACTGAGGGATGAAGAATGCTGTGCTTTAAACACCCAGGATGTCTGAAGCTGGGCACAGGGCAAGGTTTCTACTGCTCAGACAATACTGGGGATGTGAATATTCCGTGTGGTTGCTTAAGACACTCATACTCCATTTTGCTATCCAAACTTGGAATCCAAGAGATGTGGAGGATTTGGTTTGGGTATTCAGTCTCTGAGCTTGGGTCAGTCCTGGGGTGTCAGGCCCCTTTCTCTTGAGACCATCTCTGGTACCAAAAGGTACACAAGCCTCATCCTGCCTTTACAAGGACCTGAGAACCCTCTTTCCGCTATAATGTTGGTTAGGGTAGCCTCAAAGAGAACTGCTCTTGTTAGGACTGACTCCTCGATTAAACCAACTCTAAAATGCCCCATTTCCCCTGTCTCTTCCACAGGCGCTGAGTCAGATCCAACAGAATGCTGACTCTTCCCGGAGTTGGGAAGACCTGGGTTCAAATCTCACCCCAGACACTGAATAGCTGCGTAAGACTGGGAAAGTGCTGTGACCCATCTCAGTTTCCTCACCAGGGGGACCCTGGGGTCCCTTCTAGTTCTGCATCAGCACTGAGACATACATACATGCATGCATTCATTCATTCATTTATTCAGGAATGCATTCCTTTATCCCTCTGTGCTGGGAAGATGCGGAGTTTAGACAAGACGAGGTCCCTGCCCTCATGGAACTTACTCTCTAGTTGAGGAATGAGGCTCAAATGCATGCCATTTTAATGCACAAAATTAAATGATCCGTGTTACGAGGGACAGACAAAAGGGGGCTTCCGGCTGGCGGGAATAGGGGAGGGCATCATGGAGGAGGCGATATTTGGGCTGATCTTTAAAGGATGGGGAGAAACCCAGTAGAGGAGGGAAGCCTCCCCGCCCCCGCAGCGGCCTCAGGATCCAGCCTCGGCGGCCCCCTCCGCAGGGGGCTGAAAGCTCTGAACCGCCAAGGTGAGGGGAAAAGGCTGTCCTTTCCTCAGCGCGCCTGCGCCAACTCTCTGCTCCCCCGCCCCACTCCAGAAAGCCACTTCCGGTTCCGGGGACTAGACCCTCGTTTGTTTCTCCTTTCCCGGCCGGAAAAACGGCTTCCTCTCAGCGCCTGCTCAGGCGGTTCCTCACCCACGGCTGCCGCCCTCCTCGGGCTCTGCACCGGGCTCGGGCCTGGGCCCGGGCCCGGACCCATCCTCGCCTTCTGAGCCGCTGCTGCTGCTGCTGCTGCTGTAGCCCACCAGGAGTGCGGCGCTCATGGGCCCTTCCTGCTCCCGGGCACGACGGGTGCCACGCTTATTCCCTTCCCCCCGGAAACCTGGGCCCGCCCCCGGAAATTCCGCGTCCAAGAGTCCGCCCTGCCCCTCCCCTTCGCTCCTCCCCTTCGCTCACTTTGGAGGGAGATCAAACCGTTAAGAGTCTAGCCGTTATCTCCTCCTCCTTCCCGCCCCCTTCCTTCGCTCCTCCCCCTCCTCTCCTCCCCCTTCTTTTTTCCTCTCCTCCCCCTTCTTTTCTTCTCTTCTCTTTCCCCTTCCTTCTCTTCTCCTCTTCTTTTCCTCTCCCTCTCCTCTTCTTTTCCTCTCCCTCTCCTCTTTCTTTCTCTCCTCCCCCTTCTTTTTCTCTCTCTTTTCCTTCCCCTTTCCTCCCTCTTTTCTTCTTTCCCTTTCCTTCTCTCCTTTTCCTCTCCCTCTCCTCCTCTTTTCTTCTCTCCTCCCCCTTCTTTTCCTCTTTCATCTCCTTCCCTTCCTTCTTTCCTCCTCTTCTTTCCTTCTCCCTCTCCTACTCCTACCTTTCTCCCCCTATTCCTTGTCTCCTCTCCCTCTACTCCCCCTTCCTCTTCTCCCTCTTCTTTTTTTCTCCTCTTCTCTCCTCATCTTTTCCTCTCCCTCTCCTCTTTCCTTCTCTCCTCCCCCTTCTTTTCCTCTTTCCTCTCTCCCCCTTCTCTCCTCCCCCTTTTCTTCTCTTCTCCTCCCCTTCCTTCTCTCCTCCCCTTCTTTCCCTCTCCTATTCCTTCCTTCTCTCCTCCTATTCTTTGTCTCCTCTCCCTCTACTCCCTCTTCCTCTTCTCTCTCTTCTTTTTTTCCTTCCCTTCCTTCTCTCCCCCTTCTGTCTCTTCTCCCCTCTTCCTTCTCTGTTCTTCCTTTTCTCCATCTTCCTTACCCCCTCCTTCCTTCCTGCCTCATCTTCCCTCCCCCCTTCCATCTCTCTTCTCCTCTCCTTTCCTTTCTGTCCCCATCTTCCCTCCCCATCCTATATCTTTTCCTTACCTTTACCTTTGTTCCTCTCTTCTCCCCTTCTCCTCTGCCTTTCCCCCCATTGCTGTCCCTCCCCACTTTATTGGGGACTTGTAGGATATTCAGAGGTATAGCAGGTGAGAGGGAGCTTTTGAATCAGGAAGTCCTGGGTTCAAGCCTGCACCTGACACATACCAGCTCTGTGACTTCTGTCAAGTCACAACCTCTCAGTATCTCAGGCAAATACCCAATCAACAAGCATTTAAAACCTTTACATCATAGGGGCTTACAGGCAGCTAGGTGGCCCAGTGGAATGAAGACACTGGGCCAGAGTCAGGAGGACCTCAGTTCAAATTCTGCCTCAGACATTTACCAGCAGTGACCCTAGGCAAGTCACTTGACTTCTGCTTGCCTCAGTTTCCTCAGTTATAAAAATTCTAATAATAACATCTACCTTGCAGGAGTATTGTGAGAATCAAATGAGATAATATGTGTAAAGTGCTTAGCACAGTGCCTGTAGTATGTAGCACAAATCATATAGCAAGCTTTTAATAAATACTAATTTCCCTGTCCACTAGGCACTGGATTACAAATACAAAGAAGGAAACAATCCCTAATCTTAAGGAGTTTGCATTCTAATGGGGGGGGGACAGGTAGATACAGAAATAAGTATACAGCAGAAATAACAGGCAAATAAATACCAGATAATGTTGGAGAAAGAGGGCACCTGAGCTTGGGAGGACTTGGGTAGTGATTCCTCAAGAACTCATAGTTTCTGTTAGTTGCAGAGCAGGTAACAATCTGCATTGGCAGAGGAAATTCCCTGTACTGATGGTCTGGCCAAAAATAATTTCTTTATATCGACTTATGTGTACCCCTCCCCCAATAGGGTAAAAGTTTTTGGGCAGGGAGAGCAGGAACTGTTTCAGTTTTTGTCTTTGTACCTCCAGCACAGAGTACCATGGTTGGCACATAATAGGTGCCCAGTAAATGCTTGCTGATTTATTTTGACTGGCCCCTCTTTCTGACTTGACTATTTCTGTCAATATCACCCTTCTCTCTTCCCTCATGTTCACCCAACATCCAATCAGAAAGAGCTTGAGATTGGGACGTGGGTTCACATCTTGGCTGCGTCACTGACAAATCGTTTCACTTCTTTGAATCTCAGTTTTCTCATCTGTGAAATAATCTCTGAGGTAAGAATCACAGAATTTTTATCTCCAACCCATACCCCAAAAGAATCCCCTCTGTAATGTACTGGAGAAATCTTCATCTAGCTTCTGTCCAAAGACTCCAGTGAGGGGGGGAGAACCCCCCATGTGAAGCAGCACATTCTACTTCTGGGGAGCAGTGATCATTAGGACGTTCTTCTTTACATCAAGCTTCAATTTAGTTCTTTTCAAATTCCCATGATCCTGTCAGTCTATTCCAATAGCAAAGGTCCTGTATTTCTCCTAGCTTGAGCAAGCCTCAGACAATTGCTTCCAATTTCTTTCCTCTCACTCTCTTAACTCAGCAATCCAGTTTCTGACATCACTATTCACCTTAAACTGCTCTCTTCAAAGTAACCCATGTGATAGGAAGTAACATGTAACAAAGTAACACAAAGTAACAAAGTAACTGCCAAATCGAATGGCTTTTTTTCCATCCTCATACTTGTGGACTTCTCTCCTTTTTACTCTCTTACTCTCTAGGTTTTCATGAAATAGCTCTCCTGCCTTCTTCTACTTGTCTGATTGTTCCTTCTCATTCTATTTTGTTGGACTTTCATCCAGGTTGTGCCAATAACTATGAAAGTCCCCCAAGGCTCTGTCCAATCCACTTCTCCCAATGCACTCCCTCTGGCAATCTCATCAGCTCCCAAAAATTAAGTGATCATTTTTATGCATAGTATACTCAGATCCATCCAGCCCTAACCTTTCTCTTGACCTCCATGAGGGAAGAGACAACCCTCCATGACTGTTAAACTGAATTCATTCATAGGTTGTTAGGTCTTAGAGCTGGATCAGGGTTAAGTGACTTGCCCAGGGTCACACAGCTAGTAAACATTAAGTGTCTGAGGTTGGATTTGAACTCAGGTCCTCCTGACTCCAAGGCTGGAGCACTATCCAGTGTGCCACCTAGCTGCCCCTCTGGGTTATAACTTTTGCCTGGAATATATAAGCATGTGAGTTTTGAGAACATCTTATAGGTAAGAGACAAGCCGGGAGAATGGCTTTCTTTGTTTTTTGTTTTGTTTTGTTTTTGGCTGGGCATTGGGGTTAAGTGACTTGCCAAAGGTGACACAGCTAGTAAGAGTTATGTGTCTGAGGCCAGAATTGAACTCAGGTCCTCCTGACTCCAGGGCTGGTGCTCTATCCACAGCACCATCTAGCTGCCCCAGGAAATGGCTTTCAAAGATGAATTGATAAAAGCTTTAGCCAAGATAAAGCTATTATTAACAGCTTTTGTTTTTACATCAAGTACTTTTCCTACTGTATCCTCTGACTCCAGAGAGATATCTCTTCTAATGAAGAATTTACCACTAGAAGTACAGTAATTTAAGAATACCTTGGAGGACCAAGCTGCATCCATTGATGCAATGCATTTTTTTTTATCCACAAGGCAAAGAAATAGAAATTGCAGGATGAAAAATTTTATATCAAAGAAAAATTATACTAATTTTTGCATCAGTTGGCATGCCTGGTCCTTCTAGTGTTTAAAAAAAAATAGGAAGGGAAAAAAGTCCATGAACAAATCAGTATGTCAAAAAAATGTTATGCGTAGCATTCCACATCCACGATGTACCACTTCTGCAAAGAAGTGGGAAAGTATCTTCTAATGTTTCTTCATGGAACCAAAGTTGGCGCCATTATAATTTTGCACCATAAAGTTTCTACCGTTTTGTTGCTGTTTCCATATATGTTGTACGATCCTCATATAAGTTATTATCCTTGTTCTTTTCCATTTTTTATGATCTCTTTGGGATATAGACCTAGTAGTGGTAGTGCTGGATCAAAGGGTATGAACAATTGTATAGCCCTTTGGGCATAGTTCCAAATTGCTTTCCAGTATGGTTAGATCAGTTCACAACTCCACCAACAATACATTAGTGTTCCAGTTTTCCCATCTTCTCCAACATTTATCATTTCCCTTTTCTATTAGCCAATCAGATAGGTATGAGGTAGTACCCCAGAGTTGTTATAATTTTCGTTTCTCTAATCAATGGTGATTTAGAGCATTTTTTCATCTGATTGTAGATGGCTTTAATTTTTTCATCTCAAAACTGCCTGTTCATATCCTTTGCCCTTATTAGCCTTGTTCCTACTTTATTTTGTATCTGCCCATGTGAATCTTCTCTTGCTTCCCATAGCACAGTAATATTCCATTACATTTATGTGCCATAACTTGTTGAGCTATTCTCTAGTTTCTAGTTCTTTGCTAACACAAAAAGCATTGCTATAAATATTTTTGAGAGCTTATAGGGTTTGTCTTTTTGTCACCGACTTCCTTAGAATATGTGCCTAGCAATAGGATATCTGAGTTAAAGAACATGAATATTCGAGTTACTTTCTTTACATATTCCAGAGTGGTTGTACCAATTATTCATAGCTTCATTAATATTTCTACATTTTTCCACTACTGCTCCAACATTGACTCTATTCATTTTTGAATTCAGAAAATCATGGGAATAATAATAGTTTATTATATTATATTATATAATAATTTTATATAGTGCTTTAAAGTTTGGAAAGCACTCTACAAATACCATCTCCTTCTATCCTCACAACAACCCTGGGACTTAGGTGCTCTAACTATCATTCTCATTTTATAGGTGGGGAAACTAGGGCAAACAAAAGTTAAGAGACTTACTATCTACTGTGCTACCTAACTGCCTCTAACACATAATAACTGACATAGACCAGAGCCAAACTCAAAGTGCAACCTACACAATTAACCACAACAATGTTAAAAAAAAAAGACCATAGGAGAGGCAACAAAGTGTCATAGCAGAAATTCAGCTTGGAGTCCAAAGACAGGAGCTCCAATTCCGCCCAGCTCTGCCACTCCCTTGACGCTAGTTTCCTTATCTGTAAATGAGGAAGGGGCTGACCAGGTGGTCTCCAAGGCAGTCCCTTCCAGCTCTGGGATCCTATGATCCTGAGTCAGCTTCCTCTTCCTTAAACGAGGGGCTTCTGAGGACCCTTCCTGCCCTAAATCTACGATCCTAAAAATACAAAGGACAGTGCTATCTCCGAATGACCGGAGGTCAAACCCAAGTCCTTTCTGTTCACAAACAGCAAAGTGCAAAAATAGAAATTAGCACCCAAGGTGGAGAGTTCCTTGTGATCGAGACGACCACAACGAAATTTAGGTGCTTTTGCGGAACCTTTTATTGGAAAGTACCTTGGGGCCGTGGGTGGGTCAGTAACTGACCGCCCAGAGCAAATGCATCCATGAAAACGTATTTTACTTGGGGGAGAGCGTGGCTGGGAAGCCCCGCCTGGAACGACACCAGCTGGAGCCACGTGCCCGCGGAGGGGGCGGGGAGAAGCTTTCCCTCCCTCCTCAGGAGCCGGCTCTGCGGAGGGGGCGGGGCCGGGGCGGCCCTGGCCGTCGCCCCGCCCCCTCCTCGCGGCCTGCGTCGCCGGCGGGTGCCCGGCAGGGGGCGGCCTCGCCTCCTGGGCCCCTCGCCGCGCTCCTCGCCTCCCGCTCCTCCTCCCGCGGCCCCGCCTCCCGGCCCCGGCCGGCCCCGCGCCCGTCACTCACCCTAGCTTGCACACTCACTCACACTCACGCTCGCCTCGCACGCTCGCCCTCGCCCTCCGCCCCCGCCTCCGCCCCTGCTCCCGCCGACGCCGCCCCCCCTCCCCGGCCCGGAGCCAGCCGGACCCCCAGGCCCCGCCCGGGACCCGCCGCCGCCGCCGCCGCCGCCGCCGCCGCCGCCGCCGCTACGCGAGGCCGGGGATCGGGAGGGACCCGCAGGCCGCGCCCCCGACCCCGGCCTGGCCCGGCCCAGCCTCGGCTCCGACCCCGGCCGCGGAGGAGGACGAGGACGAGGAGGGGGAGGAGCCGCAGCACGGGGCGGCGAGGGAGGGAGCGGAAGGGGAAAGCGACCCCCGGCAGGCCCCAGGTGAGCCCGAGGGGGGAGTCCAGGGCCCAGAGAGAGAGAGACCCCGGCCCCAGGAGAGACCCGGGACCCCCAGAGAGAGAGAGAGACCCTGGCCCTAGGAGAGACCTGGGATCCCCAGAGAGAGAGAGAGAGAGAGAGAGAGAGAGACCCCGGCCCCAGGAGAGACTTGGGATCCCCAGAGAGAGAGAGAGACCCTGGCCCCAGGAGAGACCTGGGATCCCCAGAAAGAGAGAGACCCTGGCTCCAGGAGAGACCTGGGATCCCCAGAGAGAGAGACCCTGGCCCCAGGAGAGACCCGGGACCCCCAGAGAGAGAGAGACCCTGGCCCCAGGAGAAACTCTAGACCCTGGGGGAGAGAGAGAGAGAGATCCTGGCCCTAGGAGAGACCTGGGACCCCCAGCAGAGACCCTAGCCCCAGGAAAGACCCTGTCCCCCCAGACTGAGAGACCCGGGACCCCAGGGAGAGATCCTGTCCCCCCCAGACAGAGAGACCTCGGCCCCAGGAGAGCCCCTAGCCCCAGGAAAGACCCTGTCCCACCAGACAGAGAGACCCCGGCCCCAGGAGAGACCCCGGCCCCAGGAGAGACCCGGGACCCCAGGGAGAGGCCCTGGGAGACCCTAGGCCCAGGAAAGATGCTGTCTACCCCCCACAGAGAGACCCCTACCCCAGGAGAGACCCTGGCCTCCAGAGAGACCTAGACCTCATCCTCCCAGAGAAACCCCAGCCTCTAATGAGACCCCAGCGCCCAGAGAGACTCCATCCTTGGAGAAACCTCTATCAGTTCTCTATCTCCCTATCTCCTGCCCCATAACTCCCCAGCTCCCTCCTCTATCTCCCCATTATCTCTCCCCACCCCCTTCCTCACTCATCTCACTCCCCATAACCTTCATCTGTCTCTCCCCCTCCTCAGTCCCATCTGTCCTCATCCCCTTCCTCACTCATCTGCCTCACATCTCCTGTAATCCTTTTAATCTCTTGACCTCGGCTTCAGACATCACCTTTCCTAATATCACTCCAAACCTAATCCCCTCTTTTCCCCCTCCTCATTTTTCCAGAGTCCTCTGACTCCCCCCCCAATCTCCTGCCTACGCCCCTTCCCAAGCCCAGTTCCTGCCTCTTTAGAACTTCCTGTCTGCCCAAGGCCAGAAAGAAAACTGTCCTTAGGAAAGGCAGGGGAGTCGAGCTCGCATTTCCCTGGAATATACTGGCAGGAGGTTCTGCTGTGGTTTGTTATCTGGTCTGGTTCCCCCTCTAAGGAGTTAGCCAGGAAAAACCCAAGGCTGGTATCCAGGGGGAGAGGAGGCCCCGGTTTCCTACTGTTTATTGTGACAGATAATTTGGGGGTGGGGGTGGCTCAGAGTGAATGGAGCAGTGCTAAGGCTTTGCTTCCTCCTTAAAAAAACAAAAAACCCTACCACTTTCTTCCAGGCTTTCGGTTGTTGTCTGTGTTTATTGAATTCCTTGTCTCCTGTTTTCGATTCTGTCCGAATGGCAGCTCAGCTGGGCAGGGCAGAGCGTGGGGGCTGGGGAGCTGAGGATCAGCTTTCACTGGAATTCAAAGGGAAAGAGAAAAGGATTCTGGAGGGGGTGGTTGTGTGAGGCTGGGTTGTACCTTTTCAGAATGCCTCAAATGCAAGCTTGTCCAGCAGCTTAGAGGCATCCACAGTTAGCCATAGGCTTTCCCAGGGTTAAATTCTGAACTGGCGTGTTTATTAAATAGGGGAAAAAAAGGTATGTGTAACCTCAAGGTTATGACAGACTGAAAAGCTGAGATGTTGAATAGAGGAGAATGTTTGTGTTGGAGCAGATCTCTTAGTCTAATTCTCCTCTTTCCTGGGAAGTTTTTGGAATTTAGAGTGGGTGGTCGTCTGGCCTTTATTCTTCCCTCCCCCTTCCCCAGCCTCAAAGCCAGACCAGGTTGTGTTCAGTTGTTGATTTCTCTTGTCCCCACCACCCACAGGTATTAGGTAGATGAGAATGAAGTCTGAGAGTTGTGTTTTTCCTTCAGAATTGAGTGGGAGTGTTGCAGTTTGGGGTGCTGGGAACCCCAAAATGCAAGGGTACATACAGGAGGTCTGCCTTGAAAGAATGTGACCACTCAAGCCTTCTTTCAGTCAAAGTATTGAGATTTATTTTAACACCAGTTTGGCAGGCAAGATTCCTAGTAAATCTGCAGTATTATATTGCCAGTAGGAGTGGGCAGAGTTCCTAGTGAGTCTTGCAGCTTAATGGAGGTAAGATTGGTACTTATATACAAGAAAAGATGTGAGAAGTTCTGGATAGGATTAAGGAGCCCAGGTAGCCTGGGGTGGGTCAGATGCAGATGATGAAGTGTTCAGAGAGTCACAGTGAAAGGGCAGTTAAAAGGATTATTGAGTATCTAGGTAGACTGGGATGGACCAGATGCCTCATGTGAAATGCCAGTGTAGGAAAGTTCATGGGCTTTTGGGGGTCCAGGTCCCATAACCCCATTAGGAGGTCAAACTGGTTTTCCTTTGAAGGAAAAACCCCAGGACTATAAAATGGATAATGTGTTACTATAGAAGCCATAGCAAACCTGAAATTGGAGAATGTTTATATCTTATTGTGTGATATTCTCCCTGTTTGAAATTTCCTGTCATGTGTTGTGACCTTAGACTGCCACAAAGGAGTGAGTTAACCCTTAGTCTTCACTTGATCTTTCCCTGTCTCTTTTTGGGAATTGCATCAAGTCGCTAGATTTAATGTTAGGGTAGGGAACCTCTTTCTGGGGAACGTTATCATCTTTTGCTGTTGGTTGTATTTTCCTTCCTATGCTGAAGAGGCAAATTAATAGACTGTTGGCTTCTTTATTGCACTAAAGTGAGGCACCCCAAGCCAGAAGCCACTCTCATGTTATCAATCTTGGGTTAATTAGAAAGGCTAGGACATTTTCTAGAGAGAACAGGATTGTGATGTTGGATTTACTTAGAGCCTTGGTCATTGGATCATAGAGTCTAGAGCTGTATGGGATAGTAAAGATGAGCGAGTCTCCCCTTTACGGTGAAGTCCACACTGCAGGAGGCCAGGCAGCCTCACCTTGTAAGTAGAGCAAATTTTACTGATCAGCATTTCAGACATGTTCATTTAAAAGAGGGCATCACCCTATGGATTTTCAACTCAGTTCAGCCATTTTCACTCACAGTGGAGAGACAGGGTGTGAAGTCAAGGTCCAGGCTCTTGGTTGACAGAGTCAGTGTCCGGAGCGACATGGAGTGGCATGCCGGCTTAGAAGGCCCTTCTTTGTCCCATAGTTTAGATCTTAACTATTATTCCAGCAAAGGCAAGTTGAACCCCCGATCTTTAAGAGATGGAGCTAAAAGACTATGTTGTTCCTCAGGTCCTAACAGGCCCCAATATTCTCCAGAGTCTTTACACCTCCCCTAGGAGAGAATGAGAAGAGGGAGAAGAGAGAAGGACTTATGACTTGTAGCCAAATCAGCCCAGACTCTCATTTGTCATACAGCTGATTTCAGAGGGCAGGAGGGAACTGTGAAGGGAATCTGTGTGGGATGCAGAGGAAGCTGCTAGAGGCGAGGCCAGTGTGCTCTGGCTGGAGGATGGTGAAATGAGGGCATATGTCAAGTCAGGGCTCTGGGGCCCCTAATGAACTCCTCTGGATCTCTCTTAGTCCTAAGTCTCTCTCTACTTGCTAGTACTGGCTACTGGTTGTGATCTTTAGGTAGACTTTTTTTTCATTTAATCAGACGGATGAGGGTAGAGTGAGAGGCAGCTGACTGCCCTGTGATATTCTGATTTTTCTCAGTTCTTGTCATTTGATTGTTTTCTCTCTTCCCTACAGAACTCTTCATCCTAGGAGCCAAGCTCTCCCTGCTTACCCTGTCTGGCACACCACTGATTAGAGAATCTTTGCCAGTCAAGTACAGGACACTGTCCAGTGCTTTTGTGTCCATTTGGTCAGTGACTTGAGAATTAGCTTAAGAAGGAACGTTTTGCTGTGCCTCTGATGTCCTAGAGATTTAGCTCTGGACTAAGGCTTCTGCCACTTACTACAGTGGACAACTCTTTCAGTGTGTTTTGTCACCTCAAGCGGGAAGCTGAAGCCGTTACTGTCAAAACCCTGTTTCTTCTTCCCAAGCATGTCAGAAAGCTGGCAGCAGCAGCCTCCCCCACCGGCCCCACCGCAGCAGCCCCCGCCTCCCCCGCAGCAGCAGCAGCACCATGCTGAGCCTCCCCCTGCCCTGGCGGAACACTCCATACCCCCAAGTGCAGCCGAGAACCCCCTGGGCTGTGCCGTCTATGGCATCCTCCTGCAGCCGGACCCCAACTTACAGCACCACCAGCACCCCCCCTTGCAGGCCCCTGCGGAGCCGTCCCACAAATGTGGGGTATGTGGCCATGACCTGACCCACCTCTCCAGCCCCCATGAGCACCAGTGCCTGCCCGGCCATGACCGATCCTTCCAGTGTACTCAGTGCCTGAAGATCTTCCACCAGGCCACTGACCTCCTGGAGCACCAGTGCATCCAGGTGGAGCAGAAGCCCTTCGTGTGCGGCGTGTGCAAGATGGGCTTTTCGCTGCTCACCTCCTTGGCGCAGCACCACAACGTGCACAGTGGCAGCGTGATGAAGTGCTCCATCTGTGAGAAGACCTACAAGCCGCCGGAGCCCGCACAGCCGGCGCCGGCGCCCGAGCCCGTGGAGAAGCCATACAGCTGCTCCATCTGCCAGAAGCCCTTCAAGCACCTGTCGGAGCTGTCCCGGCACGAGCGCATCCACACGGGCGAGAAGCCCTACAAGTGCACGCTGTGCGACAAGAGCTTCAGCCAGTCTTCCCACCTGGTGCACCACAAGCGCACGCACAGCTCCGAGCGGCCCTACAAGTGCACCGTGTGTGAGAAGACCTTCAAGCACCGCTCGCACCTGGTGCGCCACATGTACGCGCACTCGGGGGAACACCTCTTCAAGTGCCCAGCCTGCGAGCTGCACTTCCGGGAGTCCTCAGAGCTGCTCCAGCACGCGTGCACTCCCAGTGGCGAGCGGCCCTTCCGCTGCGGCGAGTGCCAGAAGGCCTTCCGCAGGCCCTCGGACCTGCGGCAGCACGAGCGCACGCACAGTGAGGAGCGGCCCTTCCAGTGCGACCTGTGTCAGATGAGCTTCAAGCAGCAGTATGCGCTGCTGCGGCATCGGCGCACGCACAAGGCCCCTGGCACCTCCCCTGAACCCTTCAAGTGTGCACTGTGTGAGAAGGGCTTCGCCCAGCCCGGCCACCTGGTCTACCACCAGCACGTGCACAGCCTCGAGAGCATCTTCAAGTGCGGCGTCTGCCAGAAGGGCTTCGACCAGTCATCGGAGCTGCTGCGGCACAAGTGCGCCCAGAGTGCCGAGCGCCCCTTCAAGTGCACCGTCTGTGCCAAGGCCTACAAGCGTGCCTCGGCCCTGCAGAAGCACCAGCTGGCCCACTGCGCCGAGAAGCCCCTGCGCTGCACGCTCTGTGAGCGCCGCTTCTTCTCCTCCTCGGAGTTTGTGCAGCACCGCTGCGACCCGGCCCGGGAGAAGCCCCTCAAGTGCCCCGACTGCGACAAGCGCTTCAAGTACGCCTCAGACCTGCAGCGACACCGGCGCGTGCACACGGGCGAGAAGCCCTACAAGTGCCCCTCCTGCGACAAGGCCTTCAAGCAGCGCGAGCACCTTAACAAGCACCACAGCGTGCACGCCCGTGAGCAGCAGTACAAGTGCGTGTGGTGTGGGGAGCGCTTCCTGGACCTAGGGCTGCTGCAGGAGCACAGCACCCAGCACACCGCAGAGGGCGCCTACCAGGTGGCTGCCTGTCTGCCCTGAGCGCCTCGTACCCTGGCGCTTGGGCCAGCCTGCCCACCGGGCCTTCCTCCCTGTACCGTGTCTTCAATGAGGTGTCTGTGAAACCACTGGGCTGCGGCAGGGGAACATGCCTCAGCCCCCCTCAGTCCGTGGCTCAGAGCCTGAGCTGACCTGGGCAGGTGTGGCCTCGACAAGCTTCCCACCGCCCAGCAACAGGTTTGCAGCCTTCTAGTGGCACTGGTCCTTTGAGGGCCAGTTAGCCCCCTCTCTGTGAGAGAAGTTCAGAGCCACACCCAATCAGAAACCAGTCTTTTCCTCTTCCTCAGCCCCCCGGAAGTGGAAGACCAGCCTGCCAGGCCCTTCCTGATTTTTTCCAGCCTAAATAGAAATGAAACCGGGCCATGAAGAGCTGTCATGTGGCCTGTGAGAATACTGCGGCAGTGCTCGCTGATAGGTGGAGGTCTGCTTTGACCTGGGCATCGGGTGGATGGTGTGTCCCAGCAGCAGGGGAGCCTTGGCAAGGGTCCTCCTCTACTCTCGGCAGCTCCAGAAAGCAGAACCAAACGGAGCAGTCAGCTGTAGAGGTCAGCCCTATAGGAGGCTGGTGGCTGTCCACAGGAGTTGTCACAAGGGCACTATTTCTGACTGTTCAAATAGGAAACAAGACAAAGGCTCCGTTAGCGTTGGGAGAAAAGGATTGAGAGCCTTTCCTAACAGGGGAGGAAGCCCCTCTCTTACTGAGGGTTAAAAGATCAATTTCCCTATTTTAAGGGCAACTTCTCCTCCTGCCATCCTGGGGTTGCTTAGCACTTCATAATATGTTCTTTTAAAGTGGCATGCCTCTGCAGGGCTGGACCACTGTGTGTGATAACCAGAATGCATGGACACTACAGGTGATGAAAAATCAAAGGGCAGAGAATGTTACCAGTGACTTTTGTTTTTGTTTTTTCTGCTGGGGCATCAGTTCTCCTGTCCCTTTCTTATTTAAATAACAATGTTAGGAGGCTTCTAGTCAGATTGAATGGGTGGGAGCTAAGCTTTGCCCAGTGTCCTGCCTTCATGGTCAAGGCCAGGTTTGGTCTTGTAAGTTTGTAGGTAGTGGGAAGGGCAGACTTTCAAAGGAGAGTCTGGTTGGGGTATCAGGAGTGAGCATTGTCCCTGGGTAGTCCTTCTGTCCCTTGACCCCTTCTTTCCTCTCCGTGTGAATGATTCTATTGAGTTGTGACAAGAAAGGAGCATTCTGTAGCCAGCAACCTGGGTGGCCCTATTTGTCTAAGCTGATGCAGCCCCTATTGCGGATGTCACACAACCAAGGATGCTTCGTTCAATGTCTGGATACTTCCTGGGTCAGAGAGGTGATTCCTGGAGTTCACTCTGGCTGCTTGTGGGGCATTTTGAATCTTGGGGGGAGGGGGGAGGTGGAAGGAGGAGACGATGGGGAAGAGTAGAAGAAGGGCAAATGGATATTTAAGTGGAGCAAAGACAGATCACCAACCTGATACCCACATGGCCAGAGCCGGCCCCATGCATGCTTCTTGCCATATTTAATGGTATGGTAGGCCTCTCAGCTTCTCTTCAGAAACCATTTATCCAGTCTGACTGGTTAGAGATCAAGTTTGGCCTACTCATGCCCCCAAGAGAATACCAGGAAATTTGGTGCAAACTGGGAGAGACGAAATGGTTTGTTTTTTAACCAGCATCCCATTCTCCTCACTCCCACTCTACCTGTCCATGGTCCTGGCTCTTGAAAGAGGAGCAGATGCAGTCTGGTGGAGCTGTCCTCGATCTCACCTTTAAGGAGTGTAAAACAGATCTCCTCCTCTTCCTCTTCTCCATGAGCCCCACTTCCAGGCCAGCCCTCAGGGAGGGGCCCCTCTTTCCCATTTGACTGTTAAGCTCTGTACTTTACGCTGCCTCCAGAGACATAGAACCTGACCTTACAAAGTTCCTGTCGGCTCTTTTTCATTTTGCTTTCTAAAAGCAGTTTGTTAATATTCACAAAATTGTATAGTTTAATTTCATGTCATTTTGGAACTTCTATAAAAAAAGGTGCAAAAAAGAACTCCGTGGTTTTAGGTAGCCATTTTGGATGTTATTATCACTTAGTTTAAGGTATGCTTTTGGAAGTAAAAACACAGCCACCTCAAAAGAAAGCTAAGTTATTCAAGTCATTCTTACAAGGGGAGAAAGGGAAACTGGCAGGTAATGAGTTCCAGAGCCGCAGCAGCGGAAGGTCGTTTCCCTCTAGAAGGTGCTGTGCCCAGCACGTGGGAAGATTAGCAAATGATTTTAAAGCCATTCAATTCCTCTCCATAGGCCACAGTTGAGGGGAGTTGCAGATGGAGGCAAATGTCCTAATACTTCTGAATTCAGCAAATATTTATCAAGGACCTACCGTGGACAAGGCCATGGGCTCAGTGTTGAGGATCCAGGAATGAACAAAAAAATGACCGTGTCTGAACTAGCAAAAGTGATGACCTAATAATATGGAAGTACTTCCTGGGGATTTAGGATCATAAGACCGGAGTTAGGATGGAAGGGACCTTAGAGCTGGTCTGGTCTGATCTCCTGGTTTTACAAGTGAAGACACTGAATGCTAGAGTCTAAATGAGTTGTAGGAGGCTGCATGGGCTGTAAATAGTAGAGCCTGTATGAGAACCCAGATGGTCTAACTTTAAATCTGTTGGCTTCTGAGCTGGGCTTTGAAAGAAGAACAAGATTTTGTGGCTAAGAGAGTTTCAGATGAGGTTGGGGAATGGCCTCAGTCCCTTTGGCTGGGAGCTGGAGTACATGGCAAGGAGTGGAAGATTGGAGCTACAAGGTAGAGGACCCGAGGACCTTAAAACATTTCCAGGGAGAGTTTGTACTTTATCCTCTAGACAAAGAATGGGTGAGTTGTTGCATTGTTGTGAGGGGTTGGGGTTATGCATTAGGAAGATTTCTGCGACAGCTGAGATTGAATTGGGGGGAGATTGCTTAGTAGAGCTGCCAGAAGCAGCTAGGGCCCTACTGGTCTCCCCACTTCCTTCTCTTGTGCTTCCACCCTAACAGAAGGCAATAACAGAGGGTGTTCGATCTCCTCACTTCCTTCCTGATATATCACACACACAGCAGAGCATTTCCCATTCCCCTTGGTACAGAAGTCATCCTGGGCCATGGCAGCTGCTACGCTTTCCACCCCCATCTTGTTGCCAGGTAGCTGGTCACTTTGCACCCCCTTTTAAAGCTCAGTTACTGGACCCACTTAGAAGGCAGGCTGGGCAGTCACTGAGATTTTGAGATGGTGTAGTCCTGAGCCACATAATCAGTCTTTTCTCTATCCAAAAGCTGTGATTTGTTAGCTGCCCTTGGCTTCCTTGGCTGATTGCCTGAAAGAGTGGCAGACCAGGGCCGGTCCTGAGCAGATCTTGAAGACATTTCGTTTGGTCTTTGGCGCCCGTTAATCTCCCTTTTCATGTGCGCTCTCCCTTCAGCTGGCATTCCTCCACCACTGTGGGTATGCTCCAGGGTCCAAGATGTACAATGACAATGAGGCCTACCTGCCCTGGTCTGGATTCTGAGGATGGTCACAGTGGAGGGGCACAGCTCTGCTGGGCAGGCCCAGCCAGTGGTCTCCTGGACTTGATCTTTGATGGACAGCTGAAGTCTTCCCCTCATCAGGCACTCTCTTGGGTTGGCGGTATTGCGCTCTCAGGCCCGTGTAACCATGTACTTCTCAGTTGGAAGTGCTCCAGAGCTCCCTCCCTAAGGCACCAGCAGAACATTCTTCCCTTTGACTCAAACCAAGGTTAGAGAAAGCGGTTTACCTTCCGAAGCTACTCCGTGTTGCCTTACAGTGACTCCGTTCATTTTTACTTTCCAAGATTCTTTAAAGATCTAAGGCCTACGTGTGGCTAGAGACAAAGGTCTGAATGCAGCATATGCCCCATGGGCAGTCACCATATTGATGTGTAAGGCCTCTTCAGTCCTGGGTCTGACAATTCCTCTGACCCTTGTTATTATTCTGTAGCAGGTGTCATGAACTGGGGTGAAGTTTGTACTAGACTAGGGGAGAGAAAGGGTTCACTCATTGTAGGGTCACTATGTCTAGTACAAGGTTTTGTGTATATTGTTGAGGTGGGGAAAGTGGCCAGCCATTCTCTAGGAATACCAGAAGCAGCTTTCCTGTGGTTCGTGCATGGTTAAGGTGCCATCTCCAGGCTTGGAGTCAGAATGTGCAACCAGCTGGAAAGGTTGATGAACTTCAAGTCTGGAAGCTGGAATGATAGTCTCAGCCCTGCTGCTAGCTGTGTGACTGAGGCCTGGAGAGGTGATATTGCCTTGCCCCATTTCCTTTTGCAAAATGAAGAGGTTAAATGAGGTGCCTTCTCGCCTCCCCCCAGCTGGACTCTAGAGGAGTGGAGACCAAGGGCTCTTTACTGAGCACCAGTTCTGTGCCTGGCGTTGTGCCAGGCTCCTCCTGGAGGAGCTCACAGTCTCGGTGGGGAGACAGTCTAGGATTCGAGGTCTGGAGCCAGAAGAAACCTCCAAGGTCATCTAGGCTGGCCTTATTCTGTAGTGGAGGAAGTAGACCCAGAGAGGTTGTGACTCACCCAAGGTATATGAATTACCAAAGGAAGGATTTGAACTGAGGCCCTTTGACTTTAGGGCTCTGTACCTTCCTCACTTCCATCTTTTCATGAAATGATCAGGTGCTAAATTATGTGGACAGAAGGCAGAGAGTGTGGGTTGAAGTGGTCAGATAAGGCTGTCTGGGCCCTCTTAGGGGAATGTGAATTGGATCCGGAAGAACAGATAAGATACAGAGAGGATATTGTTTAGTTTAGTTTACTTTGAACTAAAGAGCAACTGTGGCTAATTCCTGTTGGATCTATCATCTTCTTCATTCTCCAACACAGAGAGCCAAGTGGGGGGTGGGGTGGAGGGAGGTGGGCAGAGTCAGGCTGTGGACCCCCTTTACTGCTATGCTGAAGCATTCCTAGGGTCCTAGATTTAGATCTGGAAGAGACCCCAGAGCAAAGCACAAGTCAGAAGCTTAGCCAATACCCAATGGCTCCCATGACCTAGCTCAGAACCCCCCAAGAAGGCTTCCCTGTTTGACTCCATTCAAGTGTGAATGTTCTGCTTCGGTACTCCAGCATTTAAGTGATCAGTTGAGGGGTCATTAATTTCTGCTTGTTGATACAAGCCTGCCCTGCCTAATGTCATTAATTCTGTGGAAATGTTAGGTAAAACACTGGGCAAATAGTTTTATAGAGACAGTGTTATAAACCTGCACCTGGCCAATGAGTTAGGGTGGGATTCCATTACATAGTACATGGACAGTATTGTGAAATGGTCATGACAACTTTATGTGGGGTACAGCTTGTTTTTAAATTAGGAAGGTTTTCATGGATGCTGGGTCTCAATGACCCCCTTAGTCCCTGAGGCAAGACCGTTTTTTATGATTTATCTTTTCCCCTCATGGTGCCTAGGACAGGACTGAAGGAAGTAAGTACTGGTATAGATGTTAGTGACAACAGAAACGTGTGGCACCTGCTGTGTACCAGGCACTAACGAAGTGCTCTACATGTAATATCTGAGTTGGTCCTCACTGCAGCCCTGAGAGGCAGGTGGTGCTGTTACTCCTGTGTTATAAATGGGGAAGCTGAAGCAGACAAAAGTTAAGTGATTTGCCTGAAGTCACAGCTAATAAGTGTCTGCTCTCAGCCAGGGAAAGACTGTGCAGCTTTCTCTACCAAGATTGCATTGGGCAAGGGGCTCACTTGAGAGCTGCCTTATAGGCTCCTACAGGTCAATACTGTGGTGTTTGTCATGATTCCATTGAACTGTAGATGAGGCCTGTGGAGCTTGAGAACTGTTAGGGTGCACTGGGCTTTTTAAACTGCCTGACTTTCATACCTAGTAAAGATGATGACTGGACGTTGGGAAGCCTGTTGGCCACTTTGCTGGTCCTTCCAGCCGAGCGTAGATAAAGCCGGTGAATGTGTTTGTCAGCCAGCCCCAGGCTCACTCATATCCTGATCTGCTAAACTGACTTCTGAACTGCACTCCCTTTTCCCCCTCAACACTCCCTAGGGGGATGGTTGCTAGATGCTGAAGCTGTCTAGGGGCCCTGCTCACCCAAACTCTTGTAGTTCCGGATTAGGATGCTACCAGATTCTCAAGTGTTGTGATCAGTGACCTAAGACATCAGGGCAGGGGTGGGGAACCTGCTGCCTTGAGGCCACATGTGGCTTTCTAGGTCCTTAAGTGCAGCTACACCCCTGTGCCAGGGCTTTGAAAGGGAAGTTGGAAACAATAGCAGAGCAGAAGTCAAATACGAGTGCCTTAGTATGGCTGGGCCTGTTGGGAATTGTTCTGAGGAGCTGAGGCTTTGGAAAGTCATTGACCCGAGAAGGAGGAAGAATGGCACCACCCTGGTCTTCCTCTTAAGGGCAAAAAGGCAATCCTAGGTAGGTCTAGGGCTGAGTCATTAAAGTCTGCTGGTAAGTCAGGAGCCCTAAGGTCAACTGTTTCAACTTTGGGAGCAAAGATCTATCATAATCTGTGTGCCGGCTTCCCTGCGTGTGCATGAGTGCTGCTGGAGTTGGGGTGGGAAGACATGGTCCCTAGAGCATAGGTTTTTTAGAAGGGAAGTATCCTGCCTTTTCCTTGACTCATTTTTGCCTTCCTCAACTCAATTATGTGTGTATATATGTATATTTACATATACATATGTAACATGAACACATGTATGAGGCATTGTATCTAGCACAAAGCATTTTAAGGTTTTGCAAGCACTTTACATATATTATTTTATTTGATGTCCACAACAACACTGTGAGATTGGTGCTGTTATCATTTTACATATGAGGAGACAGACTTGTCCATGAAGGCCAGTGACCTGCCAGGAGTCCCTCAGCTAATAGACTTCCTGACTCTGAGTCCAGAACACCGCAGCACCTAGCTGTGGATGGTTACTTTCTTCTGTGTGTGCGTGTGTCTGTGTGTACGTACGTGTGTGTACATCATACACACATCAAGTCAACGCAGGATAGTTTGAGAAGAGAAAGAGCTCAG